GGGGACCCCACCCGGTTTAGACGCGTCTGCGTTCGGGAAGACGGACAGCGCGGGAGCCTCAATCTGCGAGCCAAGCCCCTTTCCTTGCGCGCCCCGGGGACCCTCTCCCGGTTCCCCGCGGAGTCCCAAAGACTCTTCCCCCCAACACACGGCTCTCCCGCGGCCCCCGATGCCCACGCACCTCCTCCCAGCCCTCCGACGGCTTCCCCCGCTCGCTGGGGCGGATAATTACCCTCCGCTCGCCTGTTCTCCCTTGTTTAAAGTTTGTTTTCTAAATGTCTTCTATTAGATTATGCTCGTTCCTTCCCCCTCCAACCTTATCTCCTTCTGTCTCTTCTCTCCTTGCCCGTCACACTCGATTTAGGCACGAGTTTATCTGGCGAGCACTTTGCCGACTTTGTTTATTTACCGCGGGTTCTGGGGCCGCGAGCGCGCGAGCGCCAGTGTTTGCCTTTGTAATAGTTATCTCCTCATTGTTGTTCCTCGTTAGTCTGGCTCCCGCCTCCCCCTCCCTCTCATTCGGTCGGGGGGAATGGAGGGAAGAAAGGGGGAGTCTTGTCAGCCCAGTGTGGGCTCGCCCCCTCGCCCGGAGCCCCTCCGCCGGGAGTGTCCCCTCTCCGCGCCCCATCCCCCACCGCCCCGGCGCGGCGGAGCCCCTCGCGCCCCCTCCCTCTCTCCCTCTGGTCTCGCTGAATATCCGCCGCCGAGCGCGGCCTAAAGCCGGGGAATTGCCTGACACCCTCCCATCTTCCTCCGAGCCCCCATTATGCGAAGCTGATCCCACTCTGAACAGCCTCAAATCCCGCCTGGACTCTGTTTGATTAGATTGCCAACCCGGGGTAATCCTTTGATTTGGTGGAGTGTCAATTACCTTTCTCTAAATACACATTTACAGACGAGGGAACTTGTTGGTTTAAATCAATGCAGATTGTTTCTTGATAAATGGACTATCTTCGTCCCCTCCCTCGCACCCTCTCCCAAGGCCCCTCTCCCTCTCCGCCTCCTCCCCTGCCTGGTTCTCGCCCGATCCCGTAAACAATGCCCCTTCCAGGTGTGAAGCCGAAAAAACGGTGTGGGCTGAGCGGAGCTGTGCCCCCCTTCCCCTATTCATTCGCTCCCCCGGAGCCTAATTAAATTTGGCAGGTCCTTGTACACACAATCAAAACAGCTTCCTCCAGTGTAGCGAACGACCGAAAACCGCATTAGCAGCCATAGCCACTGCCAAATTAAATTGTTTCCCGCCTCCTTTTACAAGTGTCTAAAGCCGACACTCCGGGCTCTCCCCTCCTTTCCGATCCTGCCCCGTCATTTCCCACTCCACACCTGTAAGTTTGCTGCTTTAAAAAATAAATAAGGAAAAAAGTGCGAAGAAAAACAAATCTGCCTCACACACCCTCCTGGCCCCCCAACCTCGGATGGTCTCAGACCCAGGAAGTCTGCAAATACTCGGGCCTGGCTGGACTCTGATGCCCCAGGGATTTCCCCCCCCCCCGGAGGACACACCATCTCCTCCACCTCTTCTCCGAATTCTTACCTTGTAACTTTTTTCCATGTTTCATATTAATTGTGCCCCGGTGGGCTTTCCACCCTAGAGACCAACTGCAGCCCCATGTCTGATCTGGTCAGTTTTGGCTTAAATGTGTACCCTGGCAGATGCGTGAGGCTTTGGTGTTATTGTTTGTCACTGTTACTGTTGTTATTTATATTATTGCTTCTTTTTTCACACTCACTCCCTTAGTTACCCCAGAGGAATGGTCTGACCCTTTGAAACCCGCTATCAAATTCCCCACAGGAATCTCTCTGGGCTCAGATTCTGGGAGAATCTTTTCCTATCCCCTCCCTCCTCAACTCCTCTCTCTGTTGGGCCCCTGGCTTGTCTATCCCTTGATCTTCAGGGAATGGGGTGCAGAGGAGAGAGTCCAAGTGCATGGGACCATAGAACTGTCCACTTCCCTTTCCAGGTGAGCAGAGCATGGTCAGAGCCTCTATCGGCAGCGGTCTGAGAATTCTCACAAGCAACAATCCTAATAACTAAAAAAAAAAAAAAAAAAATACGAACAGCCTCATGAATATCAGCCCAAGGGGAGCAGGAGTGAGCTGTTCAGAGATGAAAGTGCACAGAAATAAAAGCTCAATTTAATCTGCTTTAAAACCCTTCAACTTAACGTTTGTGCTTCAAACTCCGAGAGTGAGGACTGATTGCGGATAAATAGTTTCTTACCATGCCTGGAAGCTATTACACCCCTCTCCAACACAGTTTCCTATTCAGCAGTCCCAGTTTTCATTACCAGCTCTAATAAGTCTTAACATTATTAAATGCCAAGCGGACGATAGGAAAAAACGGACTCAGGGAGGGATCTCTCTTTAGCGCTTAAAGAGGAGAGCTCTTAAACCCCTTCTTTGGTGGCTCCCCGCCACGAGAGGGGCAACTCCCCCCCCACCCCAGAGAAAGCATTTTTCAAGAGCAAGAAGCCAAAACAAAGTTGTGGGTGTGCACACCGCCCCCTGCTCTGCCCATGGGGCATCTCTGCCCCTCCAGACCCGGACAACTTGGGAAGAGGCTGGTAGGTCTTTTCACCATTAACTTGGCCATGAAACTCGTGTCTGGGTCCGGGGAGAGAGAAGAGGGGTTCATTGGGGTGCCTGTGTACTGGCCCAGGCACTCAAATTGGAAAACGATATAATTTGTCCACAGATGGACAGATGGCCTTCTCATCCGCACCAACGTCCTGCCCATTCGCACCCACTTACAATCACACATCACACCCATGCCGAAGCCCACTTGCACAGACCTACACCCACGACATTCACATCCAGAGGCCCCGTGGGTGAACAGTCATGCCGAGAGATGCATGCACTTACAAGTCTATCCAGTGTACACCCGCCATCACTCAAAAACTGCAGGATCTCTGGACACCAGGCCCCCTGCCTGAAATCATTTCATGTCTGCAAGTCCTCTGTAGACCCAGCACCTGTGTTCTCAGCCTCCCCCATCTGGCACAGGCTCCTCTTTAAACCCTCGGGGACTTGGCGCTTCCTGGTTCTGCAGCAGGGAAAACCTCCATCCAGCGAAGCTGCCTGTTAGCTGGGTTCGTAAGCTCAGGACAGCACTGGGGGCCCCTGAATTCCCTTGAGTCAAAGGGATCCCCCAAACTGCATGATCTTTCCATCCTGTTCCTCTCCTTTCCTTTCCCCCTTTCTGAGGACATTTACCTATTTAGGCTTCCTCACAGATAGAACTGGACATAGCTCCACTGTACACACACACCTAAAGTCTCTGCAAATAAAACCAAACCCCCTTCTGCTTCTCTCTGGGGTAACTCTCATAAGAGGTGTCTGGTAAGTGTTCTCCAGGAAGGACAATGCAAGTTCTATGCCTCCTCCCAAAAAAGTCCAACTAGTCTCTTTCCAATAGGAACTGAAATAAGGACTGGGTTCCCTCCCCCCGCAGGTGTCCCAGGGCTCTGGGCCGACTTGCCAAGGCGGGGGCTGCTTGGCAGTGCCGGGCTGCCTCCCGCGGCAGACCCGAGGCCCCTCAGCAGGCCCGGCACAGCGGGGTGCCAGACGCAGCTCGCTCCCTCCCTTTCTTCCCTCGCCCTTTTGTCCCTAGCGGGACTGCAGCTCCTCTCGGGGCCCTGAATGTCAATAGCCCGCCCCTTCCCCAGCTCCCGCCTGCCCTGGTACCGGGCTGCGCGGCCCCCAATCCTTCTCCCTCCAAACAGGCCTGTGGGGGCTGGGCGTCCATTCCCAGTTGTCTTTGGAAGCCGGCTTTGTCTGTGAAGTTCATCTCCAAGGTTGAAAGGGACTATGAGAACTCAAGGGAGACCTGTGCTAGCAGTTCTGGGGAGGCGAGGAGAGGGGAGCTGGGAGAGATCCTCAAAAGGAGACCGGGACAAAATGTGCTTTTCACAAGCTTCCGGGATGCAGGACACTCTGCCACTTTTTGCAAAGCCATGGTTTCTGCAGGTTCCCATGCCACTGTCCTTCCATTCTCTCAGCCTGCCGCCTCCCTGCGTGTGTTTGTGGGGGGAGCTTTCTCCACCATCCCCCCTAGCCTTTGTGACTCTGGGTCTTCCACTGCTATTTCTCTCCCTGTCGCCGCTTAATGCATACTTACCAAATCTCAAAGAGAACTGCGCGGGGAAGGGGTCATGAGGAAGGACTTTCCCTTCCCTCTCTCCAAACTTCCCCCGGTCAAGAAACAAAAGCACACTCCCGTTCCCCGGGCGTGCAGGCGCTTGAAAGATAACGCCTTCCTTAGCTGGTCGCGACAAAAACCTCAGTGCTGCGCTCATACTCCAGCCGGCGCGCGCGGAAGCCCGGCAAGGGTAGGGAAGGGGTGTGCGGAGCTTGAGTCTCTCCCCCACTGGGACCCTACGACCCCAGGCAACTGGGAACTTGGCCTCAACTCCCGGCCCCGCCGGCGCACACCAAAGAGGAAGGCACCCTTCTGCCCCCCGCTCCGCCCTGGCAACGCGGGACTGAGAGTCAGGCAGCGGCCCGCGCTAATTTTTATTGATTGCAGCGGTCAGTCAACTGTCAGGCGGGGTTTCAAGGGACCGTTTAGAGAGCGTGTGCGGGTCTGGTTAACAAATTCATTTAGGGAGCTGCAGGCCGGCTCCTCCTTCCGCGCCCCCCGCCTTGCCCAAGTTTCCTATAAATAATTGATCGACGCCGGGACCAGCAGCCAAAACGCCAGCTCCGGAGGACGCGCGCCCCGCAGCACTCGGGGAGACCAGGCGCGCGCGCGCGGGGGTGGCACTGTCCGCGGCGCCCGGCGCACCAGCCCGCAGCCCCGCTCCTCGGGGACGCACGGTTGTCGGAAGGAAGCGCCCAGGCCGGGGCGGCTCCCCGCCAGAGACGCTCCCCGCTCCCCGGCGTGCGCGTTCTTCCCTAGAATCCCCGCCGCCCTTCCCGGGCCGCAGGAGCGAACCGCTGGCCCACACCTGGAGCGTGGGCAACGCCGGCTCGGGCGTCGCGGGCCGCGGGCGCTTCCCTACCTTTGTCACCCAGGATGCCGTCGATGCTGTGTTTGGCTTTCTTCTCGCCGTCGTCTTCCTTCTTGTCCGCTTCGTCGTCGTCCTCTTTCTTCCCGAACTTGATTCTGAGCACGCGGCTAATCGAACTCACTAAACCTCAGAAATTCAAAGGCAAAAGAGCGAGTATAAGTCGGGGCGGCGGCCGGGACCCTGGGAGAAAGCTGGGAAGCCGCGCGCTTCCTTACTCACATTCATTCGCCCCCCACACAGACATTTTTAAGCATTAACACCTACTCAAGTTCAGTCACCCAGTTAGGGAGGCCTGACTCGCACCTGGGGCACGAAGCAGTAAGACGGGGCAGAGACACCCGCCTAGTGCATTCCTATGCACACCCTTGCACACAGGTGTGCCTTACACTACTGCATACTCCAGACGCACTCACACCCATACCCGCTGCCGCGGGGCTCCCTGAAGTCCCTCCAGCCCTGCCGCCGCCACCCCCACACTCAGGTGTGCGCCCTGGCCCTGCATGCCCCAGTGCACATGTACACATGTACACACACACACACACACACACGCACACACACACACACACACCAGGCCACTTTCCCTCTCACAGGCAGCATGGTTTGGGGCCCCCACATGTGGGACCCACTCATGGCTGGTGGTAGCAACGGAGCAGAAATGATGACAGAAATGAATGGACATCAACCCTCCTAGGACAAACCCATCTATTTGGGACATTTCTTCCAGCAAGCTCCAAGGGAGCTTCTTTTATCATCCAACCTTTCAGGTTAACTTTTTGCTCCTTCCTTCCTGCCCGCCTTCCTCTCTCCCTCCTGCCTTTCTTCCTTTCCCCACTCTTTCCTAACTTTCTTTTCTTTCCCTCGGCCCATCTTCTTCCTTTCTGTTTTGACTCACTCTCATGCCCTAACTCTCTTCTTTGCCTTCTTGTTTCCTTTTCCTCCCAACTTCTTTCCAAGTTCTCCATCAACCACCATCTCCCCTCCTCTCTCTCCCACCTCCGGCCCCCTGGCCAGCCCCCCTCCCCAGGCTGTGCCGGCTCAGCTGCCTTCTCACCTGAGGGCACGGTGCTGCGGTCACAGTGGCCGTCCTTCAGCAGCCGGTCGCGGATCTCCCAGCTGAACATGCCCGGGTTTTCCCTCTTGTACTCCTCGATCTTTTTCTCCACATCCGGAGTCGCCACCTGCTTCAGAGGTGGAGGTGGGAGAGCAGGAGTGGAAAGATGGGGTGGGGGGAGGGAGATACTTTTAATATGCCAACCTCCCAAGAGCCCCAGGCCAGGCCGATGGCTCAGGTCACCATGCCCCCCTAAGAGATTGGCTTTATCCTTTCAAGAAACCTGTTCCTGGCTCCCAGGAAGACAGTTGTGTGTGTGGCAGGGGCAGGGATAGGTAAAATAAACCTAACTGGAACCGCCAGAGTCCCCTCTCACTATTTCAGGCAAGGCTGAGAGAAGATTTCCCCTAATCTCAGAAGGTGTTAAGGGGTTGGGGACAGATGTTGGGACAGCCCAGGGAGGCTCACAGCCTCAAAGTCTTGAACAACGTAGACCTCAGTTATCCTCATCCCTGAGACATTCAAATAATGGGAAAATAACGGGAGGCTGTCTGGGAGTGGGGACACTCTTCCACTGTACTTTCCATGGGGAGCAAATAGACACCCCAGTGCTCCTGGATGACCCAGGGTAGGAAGAGGGGCCACAGCCAAGATCCCCAGACCATGGGAAGGCCACCTGCCAGCCTCTGTGGCAAAGACACTCACTCTGGGCTTGCTGCCGCCGATGGCCCCAGGCCGGATGGACCCAGTCTCCTGGTAGCGGCAGAGAATCTTGGAGACACAGCCATGGGAGACACGCAGCTGGCGAGAGATGACACAGGGCCGGATGCCATGGTGAGCCATCTCCACTATCTTGTGGCGGATGTGGTTAGGCAGGGGTCGCCCGTTGATGAAGACCCCTCCAAGCTGATTGACCCGGCCTTGGCCAAGTGGAGTGGACACTGGAGAAGGGAGGGGAGAGGAAGAAGGAAAGAGGCACAGGATGAGGATGGGAAGGAGACACGGAGTGCACCCCCTGACTCCAATTTTGTTCGAGCCCTGAGATCTCTGAGAGTGAATCTCTGATGTCCTAACATTTGGAGCTTCAGTAGTTTGGGAAACAAGTGTCATGACACCGAAGGAGGGTCTGCAGAGATGGAGAGAGGGGTCATGGCTGCAAGAGTCCCCCCAGATGCTGTGTTCCCCAGCTCCTGCCCCACTGGGGGGAATGAGGGCACACCTGGAGGATCTGGGTGCCCCGCGAAGGGAAGCAAGAGAGACAGAGGCCAGAGAGCAGAGCCACCAGGCTGGCAGAGCCTTAGAGATCTTGGCACCAATGGCTCTCTGTCCCCTGGGCCACAGCTTGGGCTGCAGGTCTGCCTGCCTCTCAGAGAGGCCAGTAACTGGTGAGACGCGGCCCATCTGGTCAGTTCCACACTCCTAGTAGTCAAGACTGATGCGTTTTATTGGGGGCCAGACAGGGCTGGTTGCTTACCAGCACTTATGGCTCCAGCCTGAGCAGCAGAGCTGTGCTACCTGTGGTAGAACAGCTGAGGCACACCCTAGGGACGGGTGACATAATGCTGTTGGCCACTGCCTCTGGGGGTAACTGGCTGTCCTTCAAGGGACTCCCCTTGCTTCCAACCACTCTCGAAGTTCTAGTTTCGTTTTAGGACAATTTTGGGACACACCACTGCCCGCAAGCTCCTACATCAAACACTTCACTTGGTCTCAGAAATCCATGAACTGTCCCGGCAGGCGCGGAGACACTGGCACGCAGATGGGCCAGAGTCCGGGGTGCGGGTGACTTTGGGACCAGGAAGACAGGAACCCCTGGTGTGTGCCGGGGAGGAGAGAACGCCCCAGTCGCCTAATGCAAAGTCTACACATTTTCCTCACAGAAGGTTGGGGGACACCCGGTGCACTAATCCGGCCTCGATCCCCCCAATTTGGGGACTCAGCGGCTGCAGAGATCTGGAAGATTAGAACGATTTCACAGCCGCCCGAGTGCTGGGAGCTGACAGTGTAATTGGAAGGGAGGAGGCAAGAAGAGGCTTGGCTGCTGGACTGTTCCTGCCGCCCCCTCCCTCCCTCTCCCGGTCCCCCCACCTCTCTTGGTAAAAGTAGGTGTCTGAAGCCACCCTCGGATTTAATCAGAAATCGTGCGTCGCCAAGTCAGAGTCACTCGGTCTCCGTGGCGGGATATGCCATTAGCGCTCGAGAGCTCTTGAGCGCCCAACTTTATATTCAAGAGCCTCTTTAGCGACCGGCACTCGGCTCTCCTCAGTATTCCGCGTCATGTTGGGCAAATATTGTTCTAATCCGCGCGCGTCCTCGGCCGCCTGCTCTACTTGCATTCGCTACAGGAGAGTGCTCCGGCAAATCCCCGGGCTTGCGCGCCCTCCCGCCTGCGTGGCTGCTCGCGCGCACTTGATCACGGAGCCGCTCTCCTCGCCCCTGTCTAATTCCGGGACCCGGCGCCGCCTCGCTGCCCAAGGGGCCCCCCTCCTCCGATCGCCGGCTGCCCGCCCGCCCACCCCCTCCCTGCCTGCTCTCCCCTGTCTCAGGCACAGGGGACTCAGGCAACTACAGGAAGAGTAATTAAAAAAGAAAAGTTGCACAAATCTCTGCTTCCCTTTGACACCCTGGGCCACCTAACCCCAGAAGCCAAAGGAGCCCTCAGTGACAGGTCGAAGGCCTTCCACTAGTTTAAGAAGAAAACAGAACAAAAACGCAGGAGAGGGTCTGGGCGGTGCGCTCCCGGCCCTTTCTCCAGCGGGGGACCCGTCGGCCGCCTGTCCTCTCCGCCGTCCCGGGCGCTGGACGTTTAGGAGAGGACACGTTACAAAATGAACACGTTCCCCGTGTCTCCACGTTGCCGTGCCCTCTCGCCGTTCCGAGGCTGTCTCCCCGGAGATCTCTAGAGTTCGGAAGCCCGAGTCAAAAGTTTTTTGGGGAAAAAATCGTTACTATTTATTATTTCAAATTAGTTTGCGTCCAGGCCGAAAAGCAGGAGTGTTTGAGCGTCGCTTTGGAAGAAACGGATAGCGTTGGTAGTTTAGACATACAAAGCATCACACATCGCAGGTATTTCGAAATAAAAGGGTTTGGAAGACCATGCCAGGGGTGGAAAGAACAATTCAAAACACGAGCAGAAAGCCGAGAGCCGGCGAGCTCCGAGAGCCCAGAATCTCTCAGGGAAGAAGTATCTGAAAATAGTGGAAAGAGCGGAAATTCCCTAGAACCTGAAATTCGCTGGGAGGCAAAATCTGCCCGGAGTCCCACCCTGCGGGTAAAGGCCGGCAACGCGCGACCCGCGAAGCGGAGGCCGCGGGGCGGTGGAACCCACGCAGAAGCGGACAAGCGTCGGTCCCAGAAACTTCCTGAGTCCCGCGCGCAGACTCGGACCCCGACGGGAAGGGGACCCCCCGCTACCGCCCGCCGCCGCCGCCCCCCGAGCTTGCCACCTCTCCCGGGACCCCGAGTTGGGGCGCGGGAGGCCGGGCGAGGCGAGCCGGGGCGCTTACCTTCCAGAGGGAACCCCGTGCGCGGGTAGTTCTGCCCCGGAGCCGGCCGCATCATCCTCGGGACCGTGCCGGGAAGGGCCGCCATTCCTGCGCTCGCGGGGGACGAATCCGAAGTCGCCAAAAATCGCTTTTCGTCCGCTCCCTTTACCCCTGCTGCGATCTCTTTCTCTCCTTCGTCTCCTGCTTTTTTTTTTTTTTTTAAGCCTCTTCCTCCTCCCCTCCGCACACTCTCCCTACCCCACCCCCACCCCGGCTGCAGTCGAACGCGTCCAGAAGCTGGGGAGGGGGGCGAGGTGGGGGCGGAGGTTGGGGGAGGGAAGGTGGCGACAAGGAAGTTCAAACAAACAAACACTCCCACCCCGAGTCCGCCTCCGCCCGCGCGGCCGGGCGAGAAGTCGCGCGGTGGGAGACCAGGCCGGGCCGCGGCGGGGCTGGCGGGGCGCGGCCGGGATCGGGGCGCCGGCCTGGGACTGGCGAGCCGCTGGCTGTCGCGCTCGGGGCCGAAGTTTCCGAGCCGAGAGACTGCGGAGCGGGTTTCTTTTGCGTGTTTATTTATATTTTTATTCTCTCGCTCGCCCCCTCCCTCCTCCCCTCGCCCGCTTCCTCCGGCCGCGCTCGCACCGCCCGCAGGGGGCTCGGGAGGGACGAAGGTGCCACCTCGGGTTTCGGGACCTGAGAGGAGGCGACAGGGGTGACCGGGTTGGGGAAGAGAAGTGGAGAAGCGAGGGGGCGCGAGCGACTAGCTGGGTAAGTTGTGCAAAAGTGTTGAACTGCGGGAGCAGCGGGAGGAGGAGGAGGAGGAGGAGGAGGAGGAGGAGGCAGTGAGCGAGATCTGATAGGTTCGGACTTTTCTTTTATTCATGAGGAGGGAAGGCGGCCTGGGCGGAAGGCAGCGAGGACCAATAACGAAAAGAAATCGCCGACGAATATTTTTTCCCCTTTTCTAATCCTTGGCTCGACCTCGTTTCGGGGGAGAATTTGAACTGTCCGTGAAAACAGAGGGAGCAGAGCCCGGGGAGCTGGGGGCCGGGGGAGAAGGGGCGTGGGCGGCAACTTTGTCCAAGTGTCGCCCTTTGATGAATGGGCCGGATCCGCGGAGTCCCCAGCCCCGGGTCGCCCGCGGCCGGCTCGGCGTCCCGGCTCTGTGGGACTGTCCGCCTCCGTCGGGCCCCTGGTTGTCGCCTTTCCTCCGGCCCAGGGTCGGAGTCCGGTGTATTTCACGTCTGCTTCCTCGTCGTGCACACTGAGGCTCTGCGAGCGGGGACTTGAAAGGATCGGTTACGACTTTCTCTGTGAAATAATGTCAGAGCCCTGGTGTCGGGTTCTTGCTCGCCCTCTAGCAGCTCCGAGAAGCCCGGAGTGACTGTATCTGGGTCTAATGCTTGGAACAGCGGGTCTGCCAAGTGTCAGGGATGTGATGTGTCTTTTCCTCCCCGCCCAGGCCCGCCCCTCCCAGATATCTCCCCCCACTACCCCCCCATAAACCTCATCCTCCTCTTCGGTCCCTCGGGCCAAAATCCAGAACCCCTTTCCGGCAAGTAGTCTATCCCGGGGCTGCACAGCTGGAAGGTGTTGAGGATCTGGGGGTCCAAAGTGGTGGGAGCTGGGGGGCTGGAGCCTGTTCTGAGCTCCTCAGCTCTGAGCTCCTGGCAGGTGGATTGGGGGACGTTACAGTTAAATGGCCGGCAGTGGGGGTGGGGTGATCAGAGGGCCACCATTCTGCTTGGAAGGCCAGAGTGACCAGCAGCCCCAGCCTCAGGACACTGTGTCCTGGGGGCGAAACGCCCTCCCAGCGGGGCAGGACGCCACAACCGCGGGCCTTTTGTCTCCCCGGGGAAAGAGCGTCTAGGCCCAGAGCTGGAGGCAAAATACAATAAAATAAACCCAGCCCTCAAACTCGCCCCCTGCCTGCCCTCTCCTGGCGGTGGGGTCAACCTCATCTTAGCCTGGGGGGCTCTCCGATGGCTGGCCCCAGTGTGTCCCCCCCTCCCTTCTCACCTGTGACCTTTGCCCCTCTCAGCATGTGACAGAACCCCTTCTCTCCTCTCTCTCCAAGCACAAGGGGCTCATCAGACTTTCGAGGGGCCTTCTGGGAATGGGGACCCTGTTGAAAAACTTGTTCAACTCACACCTGATGGCAGCTCCAGCACTGAGAATGGGGAGGCTAAGTAGCTTTAGAACTGGAAAGGCGGGCCGGGGTGTCTTGGTGTCTTGCCCCGCCGAGGCTGCCAGGCTGCCTGAGTTACAGGGGCCCTCCCCCACCGCAGAGAGATTGGGAGGTGAAGCTTTTTGCCAGGGAAGAAGGTAACCCCTTCACATCACCAGTCTTGCTGGGGGCCTGGCCTGCCTCGACCTCCGGAGGTGCATATATATTCTCTGTGTACATGTAAACATACACATATCCATACATTGCACATTCATTCATTCATTCATTCATTCATCACTAATTTCCCTCCTTACTTGGAAGATTTTACCCAGCTCTTCTCTGTATTTGTGGAGTGGACCAGCGTCCCGTGTGTGACTATGGGCCTATGGCTGCGTCTGTGTGCGTCTAGGTGCAGGCGGGTGGATGTGTAGGTCTGTTTGGGGTCAGTATGAGTAAAGGTGTGTTTCTAAGTGAGAGTCTGTGTCTGTGTTTATGTTGTGAGGTCACCTTGATGTTTCCATGGCATAGCTGTAAGCGGGGGGGTTGGGAAGGTGTGAGTGTGTGTTTTGGTCAATTTCCCAGGTGAGAAATGGCCTTCGGGCAGCCAGGGCGCAGGGAGGCTGGGAGGCTCCATCCTGCTGATGCCAGCCCATCTCCAAGCCCAGTGGGGCAAGCGCACAGCCAGGCACCTATGTGCCCGGCCCACAGCCTTGTCAGCCGGCCGTCACTGGGGACCCTCAGAACCCCGGACCACCCTGTGCCTGGGCCACCTTGCCCTTGGCATGGTCCCTCACCCTTCACTGCCGCAGAAGGCTCCCAGTGGTGGGTCCACTCACGACACCAAACGGAAAGCCGGCTCCCCCAGGCCCCGCGCTGCTGCGCCAACCCTGGCTTTTGCAGCTTGGGGATTCCGTGGGCCCAGTCTGGGCGGGCACAGTGGGGGAAGAAAGGGAGGGGGGTTGTCTGTCGGAATGAGCGTGGCCGTTCTCGCCTGTTGGAGACCAATTTCACAAATGATTTTTGCAACAATTAAGAAGTGTGGCGGGTGAAATGGCGATTTCACATCCAGCAGGGGAAGGGGGTTCACCTGGAGACTCGGGCGGCTGCGGCTGCGGTGGGGGGAGGATTTCTCCTCCTCTGCTCTTTTCTCCTGGCTAACCCCCTCGCCCCCAAATTCACTCCCCGGATAGACATTAATCACTCTGAAGACCTCCAATCGCTGCCGAGGGGCTCTGAGGCTCCGAGGGGCCCCTGTCTGACGGTGTGTGTTAGGCTGCGTGGTCTGGGAAGTTTCCCTTTAGTCTCTCTGTCTCTCTCTCCCCCTCTCCCTCTGACACACACACACACACACACACACACACACACACACACACACACACTTTTTCTGTCCTGTCTCTCTTTGCCCCCCAACCCCATCTATCCTGTGATCCCCTCCATCTGTGTTGGAGACAGTCCCTCTTTTTCTTTTCCTCCTTGCCTTTCTGACTTCCCCCCAGCGGCTTTTCTCTGGGATTCTGTCTTGTCACCGCCGCCCCATCTCCATGGTTTCCAGAGGTATGTATGGGCCTCCACTACTCTCGGGCCGCAGCTCAGACCTGAGTCCCTGGGAAGAGCCTTTGGTCCAGATGGGCTTGGCCAAAAGATCCGTTTCCTCCACGTGGTCTGAGGGTGCATCTCCAGGCCCAGCCCGCCCCACCACCAGGAATCACTATCTTCTGGTGCCGTCTGGCTTGGACAATTGTCCCCTACCTCCGCCTCTCCCTGTCTGGTCTAAATCTCTATTGCCGCCCCCCCTCCTCTTTTTTAAGGGCAACAACAATGCTAACAGGAGTTCTTCCTCCCAAGTTTCCAAATTGAACCCTCCAAACCCCATTAAAATGGAAGAGAAATAAATAGGCCCAAGGCGCAGAAGCGAGACCCCAGGTTGAGTTCAGCGGGGGAAATTTGACCTCTCCCTGGCTGCCCCCTCCCCAGACCATGAATTTATGGCAAGTGTAAGACTTAGGCCTTAATGGGGCTCCCTTCTCCTTGCCCCCAAGTGGCCAGTGCCCTCGTCCCCCAGCCCAAGAGAGAGGACATTCTTTATTTCAGACTCCTGTGCAATGAGAACTTTTTGAAAGCAATTACCCAATAAATCTTCCTTTAAAGGGTGATAAATCCACCTTGAAAACCAGGGGTTTTGATTTCGGCAGGGGCCTTTTGCATTTTCAGAGGCTCAGGCCTGCTCCGCTCTGCTGGAAGAGGCCAAAGACATCGACAAATGGAATTATTCAGTCTTCAAATGTTTGATAACGAGACAGGAGGGGGTGGCCATGGGGGTGGGGAGAGAAATGAAATATCCACGAACAAAGGACTCTCTGGAGGCCCCTCCAGGTTCCGGAGGCCGTAATCCCTCCGCGCCACGTCTGAAGAGACACCCTTGGAACAGAACACCTTTCCTCCACTCCCCCGATCTTTTATGATTATTGTTTTCTTTTAAGAAGTAGTGCTCTTCTAAGAGTGGCCTTGAAACAATCTGCCCAATCCTGAATAGGAAGGAAAGGGAAACCAAAATGTTTTCCTGCTTGACACCTTTTCTTTCCCCAGTAAAATAAAATCGTGTGCGTTGGCTCCTAGTTCTCAAGGTAAAGGCAACAGCCGGGCTTCTCCCAGGCCTACTGCTAAGTAGGATCTCAGGTGAGCCTCCTCCCTCCTTCCTCTCCCTCCTCTCCTTCTTCCCCTCTCTTCTTTCTCCTCCTCATTTTTTCCTTCCCTCTTCTTCCTCTTCTCTTCCTCCCACTCTCTCTTTCTTCCCCATTTCTTCCTCTTCTTCCTCCTCCCTAATCTCCTGCTCCGGCTGGTCCTGTCTCGAGGTTCTGGGAATAAGGACAAGTGAGGCTAAAGTGAGAGAGCCACCGGACAGGTGCCAAGATGCGTCTCTCACTCACCTGAGCCGCTGC